GGCCCTGGGACACACAAATAGATACACACAGATATAGCAGGATTCCCCATATGTTCCTACCTTTTCTGGGGTTTTCGCCTTCCCCCCTCCACGCCCCATAGTTTCTCCTATTTTCTGGGGAGTCGACGATGAATTGTGCCTGTGTGTCTCTTTCCCTCCTGGGGATAGGCAGGGAGAAGGGCAGGGGGCAAGTTAGGAGGCAACTGCCCAGAGCTCTTCGTCGGAAGGATTGAACTAAGGAGATTCAGCCCCGTTGGGGAGCCGCGACGCAAGATTCAGCTGCGGATTAAGCCAGATGGGGCCAGATTACGCCGGATTGAGCGGGGTTTAACGGGACCAATCGGGACTTAGGAACATGGATCTCGGATTTCGGACCAGGGCAAGCTCAGAATTTGACTTCCCAAGAATTGCATCCGAAGGTAAGGGTCAAGATAGCCAGGTCCAGCGAGTCAGAGGGCCCCACCTGTCGCCCCCCTCCCTCCCACAGCTTAAGAACCAATGCGTGGCACGATCGGATGTTGGGATGCGAGCGCTTTTCCCCCTATGAGGAGAACGGTTATCGCGTTGGGGAGGAAAGGGGCTGGGAGGATGAAGGGTATGAGAAATAGCATTCGGATGCAGTGCACGACACCTTCGACCGCCGGCGGGCAATGATGTCCTCGTTCCTCCCAACCCCCTATCTCCCCAACCCGATCACTGCCTTCCTGAACCGAGCGAACGGAAGGCACTCCCGCGCGGCCCCGCCCCCGACAACTCGGCGCAGGGGCGGGGAGCGGGTCACAGATGCGGCCGGAGTCTGGCCAGCGGGCGCCCAGCGGCGGGGGCGGTGTATTCTCAAGGCTGGCCCCCGCAAGAAGACCAGCACGCCGAGGGGCTGCTGAGCAGCCGCTCGCGAAGGCGGCCGCGAGGCGGGGAAGGGGGACCTCCTCCTCCTCCGCCTCCTCCTCCTCCGCCTCCTCCTCCTCCTCCAAATGGGGGAGGGGAAGGCCGGGAGCTTGGACGCCCGAAATGGGTACGGAAAATGGGTACAATGCCCAACAACAAATGTTGTCCCAAACCAACAGCGGCCGCTGTTGGGCAGGCGGCCTCCTGTCTCGAATGGACACAGGCCGCGGCGGCGTGGACAGCGAGTCCTGTTCAAAACGAACAGGAACTGCTGTAAGGCATTGTACCCATTCTTTGCGTACCCATGTCGGTCGTCCCGAGGGGGGGAGGGAGCAGCAATGGGAGGAGCCAGCTCCCTTCCGGCTCCCGCCTCCCTCGCGCGGCGCCCTCTTCCCGCTCGGCGACGAGGACCGAGCCGAGCGTCCCCGGCGAGCGCCGTGTCGGGCGACCAGCCCGGGGCAGCGGCCACAGACCGCAGGGCCCCGGGGGGGGCCAGGGGGCCCCCGGGGATGAGGGCGGAGGCGGGACCCAGACCCCCTCGGGCAGTTGCAAGAATCACGACGGGAGGTTTTTCCACATGTTTGGCCTCTGGGGGCCCTTGCGGGCACTCGGGACCGTCAAAAAACGACTCAGGATGAAAAGTCGGTCCAGGGAAATGGGTCGAATCCTCGGAGGGTCGACGTTATGAAAAAGTCATGACGTCGGGGGTCTGGGGATGGATGGAGGGGGGGGGCGAGAGCTGAGCGAGGTGCGCGCGCTTCATATCTGAGATCCTGCCCCCCCCACGCAGTCTTTATCGCGCTGGAATTGCAGTGTGTCGTGGCAATCCTGCTACCCCCAGATGACCCCACCGCGTTCTGCGCAGGCAGAGAAGGGAAGCTGTGCGCATCGGAAGAGGTAGCGGATGAGCAGGAGAATGAGGAAGGAGGAGGATGAGCGAGGAGGAGGAGGAGGAGGAGGAGGAGGAGGAGGAGGAGGAGGAGGAGGAACAGCCGCAGCAGCAGGGGTAGGAGTAGCAGGCGCGGGAGGAGCTGGAGGGCCAAGGGAAGGCCGCGGAGGAAAAAGGGGGCGACACAACGACGAGGGCAGACTCCGATCCAGAAACCGGGCCCGCGCTCGGGCGAAAGCGCCACTCTGAACGACGGGAGCAAAACGCCGACCCCGAAATGAGGCCACCGCTGCATTGGGACAGCTACATATAGAGGCACCGAAAACGATCGGATAGGAACAACACACATCATCAATCACATGGTCTGAAGTCCTGTGTGTAAGCATAAGACGCGGAAAGGGCTGACCCTATTTCTGGCAGAGCAAATCTGGGGAGCCATGAGAGTATATAGCAACCATATTGACTAATTGTCGCGTTGACGGAGGGAGGAGAACGTGGGAGGCGAAGGCATTGTCCAAAGACGAAAACGACGAGAACGGAACTCTTCCAGAAATCCAGGACCCGAAAATCGAAAACACGAAACGCCACTTGCCGACAAGGACCTTTTGGTCGAAGGCCACGCCAGAATCTGTTGAGCAAGTCTGGTCTCTTGGGCGCCATGAGACAGGCGGGAGGATGGTAAGGCCTCGGGCTGCGCATCGACAGCCCCCCCACGGCCTGTCGACCGTGGGCATACCAGCGCCGATGCTGGATTGAACCCCCCGGGGCGTGAGTCCTAACAAATAGTCCCGGCTGGCCTCAACACCCCCCCCGAATTGCCCGGGACGGTCTCAACCCCAGAGGAAAGAGGACTAGGCACATACACCGAATCTGGCCAGGCCCATCCTGAGCCCAGGATCGGTGCACACGCCCTCTCACCTTGGCCAGGAAGGTACTCCAGATTTCGTAATAAAAGGGAGGGGGTCTGGACCCTCCAAGACAAGCCATTTCAGACCCCCCCCTGTGGGAGAACCCTCCAAAACACCGTCCCCAGACCCCCCCAGGCCCTCCAAGATAGCCTGGAAGAGACCCCCCCCGAAATGAGACCCCCCTCCCTTTCGAAATCTGGAGTACGTTGTCAGGATCGGTGCGTGCGCATCGCTCTCTTCGCCCGACCCATGGCGCCTCCTCCGGCAGCGCCCTCTCGGGCGCTCCGCGCCCCAAGGCTGGGGCGCTGAGGCCGCCCGGGGCCACTCGGGGGGCCTGCCGAGGCCGGCCGGGACTGCCTGGCGGGGCCCGGCTGTGCGCAGCCCAGGCCTTACGAGGGGAGGACCCTGACCCCCCGACGTCGTGAGGGGCCCTGGGACCCCCCAAAAATGTACACAAATAGCAGGATTCCCAACAGTTTCCCATATGTTCTGGGCTTTCGTCTTCCCCCCAACGTCCCATAGGTTCCCATATGTTCCCCGGGGGATCGACGATTAATTGTGTCTGTGTGTGTTTTTCCCTCCTGAACAACGTCGACCCCCAGAGGTCTGGACCCCTTTCGGGCGTTGACAGAGCTGGGCTCAGTGGGACCTGGTTTAGTGATGTGTACTGGGGAACGCCTCCCCCCCCCGCCCCATTCCACAAGCCGGAACTGCCGTCAACCGAAAAACACCAGCTACGGCAGACCTGGTGTAGTGATTCCAGTTCATATTTTGGGCTTCGGGGCCCAATCACTAACTGGCTCACCTTAACCGGGGTCCTGGCTACACCCGACCCTCCCCCAGGACCAGCTTTTCATCCTGAGTCTTTTTTGTTGACGGCCCCGAGGCCCGGCGAGGGCCCCCGGAGGCTGAGAATAGCGAAAAACCCTCCCGTCGTGTCTTGCGCACCACGCGAGGGGGTCTGGGGAGGGAGCAGGAGGGCCATCCCAGAAACCCTCCCTGCACAACTACGGACGCCTCGTCCCTCTTTCCGCCACCTCCCCAGCTCAATTTGCCAGCCAGTTTCAAGGCGCGCGAAGACGAGAGCGAACGATGTCGCAATGCTTTCCGAATTTCGGCCGACCACTTTTCTAGTCATTCTGCTTCGAGGGAAAAACTGATGAGCTGCTCGCGCCCAAAATGACGGCGCCGGCGGGCCCACCGCCGCATCACCTCCGCCGCCATGCCGCCGAGGGCGGCGAGGGAGCGCCGAAGGCGAGGCCGCGCTTGGGACGCCACGGGAGGCGGGAGGCGGGAGGGAGCAGGAGAGGCGAGGGGCAACGTCAGGGGGGGTCGTTCGAGGCTCGGGGCTCGAGATTCGAGATTGGATTTTCGGACGTCCTCGTTGATTCTCGGTGGCTTCCCGGCCTCGGGATGCCTTCCAGCGGCTGCGCCTCGCCGAGGGCGTTCCAAAGGTGCCCCGATCGTCCTTAACGGCCGCTGGAGGCCTCAGTTATGACTCGAAGACCACCGGGGGGCCCGCTCAGGCGGGAAACATCCAGCTGGATTCAGCGGTACATCGCCGATAGATCGGCCACAGGCCCCGATGTCGAACCCGCACGCTCCTGGGCGGGTGTGGCTATCAGACCCCTATCGGCGATGAATGGGCGATTTGGGGTCGATACATCCCCCATTGAGCAATCCCCCCCCCTAACGGGGTCCCCTGGCTTTCGGGTCATACCTCCGATCGCCGGCGGCCGTTCGGGACGATTCGGGCATCCCTGGAACGCTCTCGGCGAGGCGCGCCTGCGAGAGAGCGCCCCGACGCCGAAGCCCGTCGCGAGCCTGCGAAAGCGACCGAGCTCGGGCCTCGAGCCCGAAACTTTTCTTGTCCGTCGGCGACAAGGCTGAGGCAGTCCGCACCAGCGTGAGGCTCACCGCGGCAACCGGGAGGCGAAGGGTTGGGCGTGCAAAGTGGAAGGCAAGAGGGCGGCCGCTCGAGGGGAGGGGGGAAGGTCTAAGTCGGTCACGCACCTTTACTGGAGGACTATTTTAAAATAGTCAAAGAAAAGTCAGGGGGGGCTATTTTTCTATACATATATATATACATACATATATATATATGTATACATATGCATATATACATATATATATATATATATATATATACATTGTCGACTACTTTGGGACTATGTTACATTGTTTCTTCCCGTATCTGCCTCTAGGAGGACATGCCCGACCTAAGGGAAGCCCTCGAATCCGAAACAAGCCTGAGAGTGCCCTCTGGCCGTCCGCGCAACTCCGCCCCGCTCAGCAGGGCCGCAGGGGGCGCGGGGCACCCTCGCGTCCAGCTCCTCGCGCCGCTGCTCGGCCCGCTGCTCCGCCTGCCGCGAGGCCGCCTCGCGGCACGCGGGCGTGGGCGTGGGCGTGGGCGTGGTCGTGGTCATCGTGGTGGTCGTCGTCGTCGTCGTCGTCGTCGTCGTCGTCGTCGTGACGTCGTCGTCGTCGTCGTGACGTCATCGTCGTCGCCGCTGCCGCCGCCGTCGTCGTCGTCGTCGTCGACGACTCCAGTGGCGCGCCCACTGCGGGATCGACACACCGACGGCGAACAGGAAAACCTCTGGCCCCCTCCTCCCCCTGCCCCTCCTCCCTCCTCCCCTCCCCTCCTCCTCCTCCTCCTCCTCCTCCTCCTCCTCCTCCTCCTCCTCCTCCTCCTCCTCCTCCTCCTCCTTCAATCCTCACCACGGCCCACAGCCACGGTAGCCGCCTACGAGCGGCCCCGCCCCGCCCAGGAGCGTGCGGCGTCGCCCACCGCTGACCCATTGGCCACGCATCGCCGATTCCAGCACCTCCCCTCCCAGGCAAGAGGGGAGCTCGTCAAGTGGTGCGAAGTTCCCCCGTCCCCATCCGAATCCCCCTCCTCTTCCTCGTTACATCCTCTTCCTCCTCCTCCTCCTCCTCCTCCTCCTCCTCCTCCTACTCCTCCTCCGATTCGCATCACGTGACGGATCCAAGTCGCCGACCTCGGCTGGCCCCCCTGCGGTTGGCGTCGGGAAGATAGCGCGCGGCGTGGATCTCCGCAGAGTGTGCTGCCCCTGTGAGGCGACCCCCCCGCGATGGCCCCTCTCTGTGCGCGCGATCCCCCTGGCATTAGGTCGGGGCTGTCCCCCGGGGATCTTGGAGGAAAAATGAAAAATACCCCCAAAATGCTCCAAACCTGCCCAAAAATGGTTCAACAATCGTCCCCGGGCTATTGTTGAAAACTACTTCTGCATCTTCCTCCTGTAGGGGGACAGGCCCGACGTAACCCTGGCAGGGCTTCTGCGGTGCACGCGGCCCCCCCAAGGTGAGGGCTCGCGTGCCATGAGCGGGCCGGCGGCACCACGTGGCACGCTACCTTCCCAACGCCAGCCGTCCCCCCCCATCGGCAGGGAGACGACACGAGGAGGGCGCAGCGAGGAGGCCCCCCCAGGACGAAACAGGAGCGAGGAGGGGCGAAGGGGAGCCTCCCGAGCTGCACCGGGCACCGTTCCGACAACGGAGCTGCCGACAAGGGGAGGTGACGCAGACCCTGAGATCCGACGATGCGGACAGAGATGCAACACCGCGAAACGTCACGACCAGAGCCCCAGACCCAATCTTTTTATGCGGCATCTTCCGAGCCCGATCTATCTGTGATGGTCCTGGGGACCACACTCCTGGGCGAGAACGCCCAGCGTGGAAAGCCTGCAGCGCAAGGCTCTCAGGGTACAGTAGGGGCCCGAACACAAGGAACCTTCCACAACAAAAACCCACCCTGAGATCCCAGGACGTCAAGTGTCTTTTGGTATGGGCACGTCACGCTCTCCGTAGCAAAGCCCTTGAAATCCGAGAAGCCCAGGGCACCCTGGAGGCAAGCAGGGTGTTTCTTGGCATGGGCTTCCACTGTAAGCGGCAAGGGGCGGTCCCTGGGCTGAAGTCGTGCAGAGCTCAGTGCAGCCCCCTCCCCCTCGGGGATCCTCTGACCCAGGTCATATCCAGACCCGTGTCAGCCAGGCCCTGCAGAATCCTGCCAGATCCTGCGCCCAAGCCCGGGCCAATGCGAAGGAAGATCCTGCAGCACCCTGCACCCAAACCCGGGTCACTACGACCCTGGCCCTGCAGGATCCTGCAAGATCGGGCGCCCTGGCTGACCCCCCATTGCATTGACCCCCGCCTCAAGGCTCCCGACCCCCTGCCTGCTGCTGCTGCGGCCCGGCCGCGGTGCGGCGCTGCGACTCCAAGCATGGGCTGCGGGCCCGTGGTGAAGGAGGGGGATGAATGCCAGGCGGGGCCCTGGGGCACCACTCTTCCGACGGGCCTGCATTCGGCGTCGGCGTCGGGAGGAGGAAGAGGAGTAGGAGGAAGAGAGACTGAGAACACCATCAAGAGGCAGGAGGGGATGAGGGGAGGATGGGGAGGTGGAACCGAAACCCTCAAGCGATGAGGTCAGCAAAACACTGAGCGGCTCTTACTTCGGGTCCTGACATCGGAACAAAGCCGGAGAAAAGCAGTGCCTCCCACAGGGGCCGCTCGAACTCCAGTATGACATCAGCATATGCAGAAGAGAGACTGCGCATAAGGCATGGAAAGCGGCCGCCCGTAGTCAACTGCAAGAAGGTCAGCCTATCTGGCATGGTGTTTTCCCTTATGTTCTGTCCTGTGGTTAGTTACAGGCTGTGCAGCGGAGTGGGGGGCCGCCAGATGATTGTCTGCGGGGATGCGGGTGTCTTGGCTCCAAGACGGCCCTGTCATATATCTACAAACTATAAAAGAAGGCGAAGAAGAACAATAATAATAAGAGCAAAAAGAATAAGAAGAAGAAGAAGAAGAAGAAAAAGAAGAAGAAGAAGGGACGGAGGAAAGACAATTATTCGAGCCGCATGCTTCAACACACCGCATGACATCTGCAGCATGAATTGGGAACAAATATCCAAAGCAATGTTTTGATTATGCTTCGCAGCCGTGTAATGTATGTTCAGGACCATATCGCATTGGAGCTTCTGGCGAACTCCTCTGGGCACCGGAGCACACATTTCACAACGCTAACCATGCATCCGTTTGAAAGTGTGTGTTGCCCCTGCATGGGTGGTGCACTCGGCGACAATTAACTCGGGCGGTGCTCGGCGACGGCTTAGGCGTCGCTTGGCAGCGGCTTGGGCGCTGCTTGGCGACAGCTGGGGCTCGGGACTCAGCAGCGTTCTGGACTATCCTCCCACACCTGAAGTGGAGCTTACTGCTGGAGTTGTCGTGGTCTTTTCGGGACTGGCGGCTGCGATTCGAAACCGGCAGGAAGGAGTTCACTTAGGCCCATAAGCAAGAGGGATACCAGAGCCACGATGTGCATCGAAAACTGGATCGCCGATGCGACCCTGATGATTGTGAGCGTGCTTTGCGCACTGTCCTTCACGGGCTCACTGACAGCATCATGCTGAAGTCGTCTGAATACCATCGTTATGTGCGTCTCGCTGTTGGAATGCTGGTGTCCGTTGTCGACAGCAGTATATCCAGCCACGAGCTGCAGGAGGCTTGTCGCCGCGGCGTCCTGCACCTCTGATGCAAGTGCTGGGCAGCATGGCGCGGTGGCACAGAAGCTTCTTCGTATGAACAGGTGTTCGTGCGAACTCTGCACTGCCGCCCTGACTGCAGCTGTTCTACAGTGCACTGCAGGCGAGCAGTTGACCCCAGCGCCCAAGAGAGAGTGGAGGAGGAGGCGAGGGAGGAGGAGGAGGAGGAGAAGAAGAAGAAGAAGAAGCAAGCCGCGCAACGCGGTTCGGGCGCCTGCCCAGCCCCCGCCTCAGCGGGGCAACATGATGAAGTAGCTCTTCAGGTTGAAGCGTCGACGCCAAGAGAGTTCTCAGAGTCTGCTGCCTCCGTTTCGCGCCGCGGCCCGTCCCAGTTTCGCTTCTGGGCCCTGGCCGCGGCGCTGGCCTCGCCGCAGCCCGTCCCCGTTCCACCTCGGGGCCCTGGCCGCAGGTCATTGGCTGGTCCTCGTCGCCTCGCCGCGGCCCGTCCCCGTTTCACCTCGGGGCCCTGGCCGCGGTTCATTGGCTTCTCCGTCCGCTTGTCGAGCTCCAGCTTCTTGGCCTTCAGCAGGTCGTACTGCTGCTGTAGCCCCTGCTCCTCCGCCGTCAGCTGGTCGAGCTCCAGCTCCTTGGCGCGCAGCAGGTCGCAATGCTGCTGTAGCTTCTGCTCCTCCAGATCGGCGGGCTCCCCCTCCAGGCCGTCGCTGTCCTGGGTGTCGAGCCGCGCGGAGTGGGAGAACTGCACCCCGCCTTCTGGGAGCCGCCTGGTTCCGCCGACGATGCTGTCGCCGCCGACGGCCGCCTTCCCGACGAGCTCGGCCTCGTGGAGCGCCCGCTCGGCCGCCGCCACCGCCATGGCCTGGTTGAGGATCGCGTCGTCGTCCTCGGTGCCGCCACCCCGCGAGCCGCGATGACCCAGGCGGCTCTCGGCTTTGCCTTTGACCTCCATGCCGCCTTCGCCGCCGCTGGAGCAGCCGTCGGCATCGTGGGAGTCCTCGTCGTCGACGGTGGAGAGGGCGGCGTACCTCCCGCTCCGGACCTTCGCGCCGTCGATGTCCTTCACCTTGGTGACCTCGCTGGAGAGCGCCGTGTTGATCTGCTCGGATGATACAGCTGTGCCGAACAGTCCTGCGCACGGGGGCTGCGGCGCAGAGCCCACGCCATGGACCTTCTCGCCGACGTCATCGGAGTAATCACGCTGCTGGTCCGCCGCTGCCTGCACGAGCCGCCCGGCAGCTTGCTCATGCTCCGGAGCTTGCTGCGCCGAACCCTTGTCCGCGGCCGCGCCTGCCGCGTACTCCGCGACACACGCGGGGCCAGCCGCCGCGCCGTCCGCCTGCCCGCAGCCCGGGTGCTGCGCCGGAGCGGAAAGGAGGGGGGAGTCCAGCGGCGCCACGAACTGCGCCGCGCCGACGTCCGCCCAGGTGTGGAGCACGACGCCGATCACCGGCGTGCCCCACCTCGCCAGGCCGCACGAGCACCACCAGCCGCCGGCCGGCAGGTCCATCGCGCGCGGCCCGGCCGGCGCTAGTCTCAGCACGAGCGGGGCTCGCGCCAAAACTGGAGGAGGACGAGGAGGAGGAGGAGGAGGGGGAGGAGGAGGAGGAGGAGGAGGAGAGGAGGAGGAACAAGAGGACCAGTGTAAACCCAAGACGCAGTAAGGATGTTGAAATCCTTCCTGCCACCAATTTCCCTCTTCATAGGCCTCTACAGAGATTCACTGCGAGAAGTGCGCCCTTGCAAGACAACTGTCTGAAAGACATCAACCGTGCCAAAACACCATTCCTGGGACTTCAACGCCTCGAATCACCGTTCGTGTTGCGTCCTGAGTCGTGCCAGATCACCACCCCTAGGACTTCAACACCGCGAGATAATGTGACAGTTGCGCCCAGACAGGCCAGACTCGTGCCATGCCACAGTTTCTGGCACGTCAGCTACTAGAATATTTGACACCGTTGAAAATGTTCAAGACGAAGTTGCGCGGCGCTGCGGCGAGAACGACCTGCTGAAAAGAACCTGCCCGCCATCCGTGCGACGAATGAACGACATGTCAAAGAAATGTGCGCGGCACTCATGCGAAAACATCCGTGAAACCCTGGCAAACGTTTCATACGAGCGAGAGCCACATTATGAGCAGGCCCCCCCTCCATCCGTGAAGTTGTTACGGATTTGAAGGTCGATGATCACACATGTTGAGGAAGTTACCAGCGAACCGCCCGACCCGCCCTACCGGCAAGGCACGGGGTGCGGCAGGAAGGAGTTATTCAGAAGGGAACGGGAAAAGGGAGGAAGAGGAGGAGGAGGAGGAGGAGGAGGAGGAGGAGGAGGAGTATGAGGAGGAGCGGAGGCAGGAGGGAGGAGGAGGATGATGAGGAGCACAACGCACACACCCCTCCACCACCACCGATAGCATCCCAGAGAGCAGCGAGCCAGGACATTTTGCGACAGCGCGCACACCGGTTCACCGCTGACGGTCACGCCACAGCTGGCGTGACCACGCCGCCTGCCACCAGCTTCGGGCGGGTGGTCTGAGAAGCGAAGGTGGCACAGGTGCGCCCTGAGGTTCAATGCACCAGCTCGGGCCGTCGTGGCAACGGAGCCCAGAGCCCAGTGGACACGTGCATTGGCCAGGGCAACCGATTGCCAGGATTGGACAGCAGCGCTCAACACACATATATTTGTTCTCACGGTGCGTGCCGCGGGCGCGGGGCCCCTCGACGCCACCCACCGCAATGTGCCCACTACGCGCTGTGCGCTCCCTATCAAGATAGGACGCTCTGAGAAGGTGGCGGAGGCGTCCAGGCGCCAGGGCCGCACACGGCGCGCGCCACCCACCCGTCCCTTTCCCCCCCACTCGTGGGTGCGCGCGCGCGTGCGCTCGTGTGCGTGTGCCCTCTTTGGCGCGCTCGTGTGTGGCCCGTGCCGGGACGCCCGAGTTTGTGGCCGTGCTCTGGCACACACGCTCACGAGCTTCATGCTCTGAGCGCGCTCCTCGCGCTTGGTGGCGCGCACAAGGGGGTGGGGGGAAGGGGGAAGGCTCCTTAGCAGTGGGCTGCTTCTCAGAAGGCGCCCGCCTTGCATCCATAGATCCGGCCCGCGCCCTCTAAGACCCACGCCTGCTTCTAAGGAGCCTTCCCACCTCCCCCTGCCCCCCTCTGCGCGTGGCCGACGCACCGGGCCCGTTGCACCCCTCGGCTCGCCTTCGAGGGCCGTGTCTCGCCTGGGAGCCCCCAGGCCGCGGCCCCCTCGAGAGCTCCCCCTGAGGGACTCTGCCGCTCGAGGGCCGTCCTCCGCCCGAGGATCTCTGCGCTCTTCGCACCCGAAGGCCTCCACCTCTGCCCCCTCCTCCTCCTGTCTCTCGAGCGCTGCCGTGCTCGAGGGTGTGCGCTCGCGCCTTCGAGCAGAGGTCGCCAGGTCTCCTGGGGAGGGGATCGGAGCCGCCGACTCTGACAGCCCTGATTGAGGTGGTTCATTCGTTTTCAGCGACGTTGGTGCCAACAAAAATCCTCCGCTGCCTTCGAGCGCGGCGTGGACCCTCGCCGCTGCGACAGCAGCAGAGAAAGTGGTCAGTGCTGGGACGTGGTGTGCGTGCGCACGCTGGTGGCCGCGTCCGCCGCCAGAGCGCGGAGGGCCGAGGAGGGATGAGGAGGGAGGGGCGAGGAGGCGGAGGGATGAGGGGCGAGGAGGGGCGAGAAGGAGGGGGCCGAGGAGGGGTGAGGAGGGGCGAGGAGGAGGAGGAGGGCCGAGGAGGGATGAGGAGGGGGGCGAGGAGGCGGAGGGATGAGGGGGTGGTGGTGGTGGTGGTGGTGGTGGTGGGGTGGTGGTGGTGGTGGTGGTGGTGGTGTGGTGGTGGTGGTGGTGGTGGTGGTGGTGTGGGTGGTGGTGGTGGTGGTGGTGGTGGTGGTGGTGGTGGTGGTGGTGGTGGTGGTGGTGGTGGTGGTGGTGGTGGTGGGTGGTGGTGGTGGTGGTGGTGGTGGTGGTGGGTACTCGGCATCTGGTCAACTCTGCACCTCAGCTGCTTCATCCCTGATCCTCGCCCTGTCGAGCGCAGGGAGCACGACCAGCCGTACCCGGCGCACCGACCTGCCGATCTCCTGGAAGCTTACTGCAACTGGGACCACTGCTCTGGGCTCAGAAGCAGCATCGGAGTAGAGTTATGTCGGGCCTGTCCCCCTACAGGAGGATTTTCGACGAAAAAATAAAAATACCCCAAAAATGCTCCAAAAAGGACAAACCATACTAGAAAATAGACCCCAGACTATTTTCGTATCATTTTTGATTATTTTGGGGTTCTTATTTTTTCGTCGAAAATCCTCCTGTAGGGGGACAGGCCCGACTTGAGAGTAGAGGGACGAGGAGGAGGAGGAGAACCTCCTAGGGGGGGGGGGGGCGGGGCGGGCGCCGTCCTGCTGCTGCACGGCGGCGTCCCGCTCCTTCTCGAGCGCCTCCTGGCGAGGAGGCTCCCGCGGCCCCCCGCCCGCCGCCCTCGCGCGCCTGCCCCCCGCTCCTCCGCCACCCCCTCCTCGAGACGGAGGGGCTTGGAGGCCTGGAAATAGGCACCAACACCAGCACAAGGGGTCTGCTTCCACGAGGGAAAGATGCTCCTAGATCTCGGTGTTGGCGGTAATAGCTCGGTCACCTTGGAAGCCGGAATATGACCACCATCGCCCAGATCGGGGTCGTCTTCCCTCGGTGGAGGCACACCGCCGATCTTGGTGTTTTGGTGTCAGCCTCTCTAGGCCTGGGAGGAGGGGCTCCCTCCTGCCTCTCGCTCGCCTCCCGGCCGCTGGCGAGGCCCTCGACGGCCGAAGCGGGCGGTGCGGCGTTCGGAGGGGGCGCCGTGGCGCGGGCACCCCGGCGCGCGCGCACCGTGCCAACAGATGCATGCCCGACGCCGCGCCGATCGCCCCACACTCTGAACGAGCGCCTCTCGGGGCCTTCCCAGGCGAGGAGTAAAAGGGCAACTCCTCCCACCACTTTGCAGACGGGGGGGCCAAACAGCGGCACAAACTCTCTGAGGTCCGTGCGGGCTTCTTGCCTCGGCGCTGGCGGCGCCTCCGGCGCCGCCCCTGGCGAGCTTCGCGCGCCACGCGCGCCAGGGAGGGGGTGGTCCAGCGCCGATCCAAGAAATCCGTGCGGAACTGCGGCAGTTTGCGTTTACGCAGTTCTTCTCGGGCTGCTCTCCCGCTTTGATCCTGGCAGGTCGAGCCGAGGTCCGGGAACACTGCAACAGGGGCGTTGCGCGGCTGGCATAGGGAACGCCGTCTGCCTCCACCACGGGACGCGCACGTCCTGCAGGCCACGATCGGCTCGAGGCTCCACCGGGCCCTCGCGCCCCGTCGAAGCGCCCCGCCCCACATCGCCCGCGACCTGTGGCAACTCGCCGCTGCCAGCGTCGCCTGGCGCGCAGTGGTCGGCTACACGCAAGAGCGACCCTATAGGCAAGAGGGACCGTTGGTGCCTACGGCAAGTTCGTGTCGTTACGACACCGGCGTTGGTTCCTGACACCGCGGGGATCGTTAAACCTTGAAAGATCGGCCCTGTGCGAAACGTTAGATCGTTCATCATCGACCGATTCTGGGTCGCCGGCGGCGTTCAACGTTAAACGCCAGCGGCAGGGTCGCCGCCGGTCGACACGACGCGAACTTACCATACGCGCAAGATCGTTAAAGACTTAACGACTTCTGCCGTCCTTCGACTCGCGCTGGAGCGGCCGCAAGTTACTCCAACTTGCCCTGCAGAGCTCTGGACTGACCTGGATCTACCTGAACGTACCTCGATTTGCCTGGACTGACCTCGCTGTGCCTGCATTTGCCTGGCCCGCGATCGCCACAGGTCGATTGGCGAGAAGTCGGCAAGCCCTTGGGGAGAAAGAGCGACCCCTACGGGCAGGAGGGGCCTCTGTAGTGCCCGGACCTGCCGGCCGCTGCTGACCGGCCTCGAACTCATCCCTATCCCTGAAGATGGGCGCGCAACAAAAGCGAGGAGAATCTTGGGGACGGGCCCTCGGGAGCTGAGGGAATCCTGAAGATCGGCATCGAGGTGAGGTGATGCCAAACACAGGGATGGGGATGTGCTTCACACCGGTAAGCTGCGCTCGGGCGCGACCGACCGCGGCGGGCCGCTGCGCGCTCGGGCGCGTGGCCTCCCCGCGCCACGGGGGCCGCTCGCGGCGCGCGCGGCCGTGCGGCCGAGGTGGTCGCCGCGTGCCCCTCCCCCCCCTCGGCGCCCGAGCGCCGACCGAACGATCGAGCGGCGCATCACTCGAGGGCAGGAGGTCCACCCCAGGAAGAATGGTGTGCCTGTTTCCCACCACCGCCACCAGGAGTTGGAGGGGGGAGGAGGTGGAGGAGGAGGAGGAGGAGGAGGAGGAGGAGGAGGAAGAGGAGGAGGAGGAGGACCCCTCCCCCTCCTACTTCTGATGGCGGCAGTGGAAAACAAGCCCACCAAATCATCACCCCGACAAGGAAGCCGTGTAGTAAAGGCATCCAGGGACGGAATCGAACCGGGCAGGGCTGGTTTAGTAAACGCCCAGGGCCGTTCAGGAGACGCCAATGATCGGGGTCTGGGTGGCTTTTCCTCCCTTGAGTCATGGCCTGGGGCACGGCGGCGAGGGCCAGCAGATGTTTCGACAGAAAACGGAGAGGGGCCATGACATCCGGCAGGTACGCAGCACATCTCGCGGTTGCGGGCAAGAGCGAATGGGGGCGGGCGCGGAGTGGGTCGCGGGGTGGGCCGCGGGGAGTGGGTCGTGGGGGGCGGGTCGCGGGGGAGATAAGGTGTTACTGCGGCCCGTTGGTTGTTACTGCGGCCCGGTGGGTGTTAGTATGGCCAGGGGTCCTCCGGAGTGTATTAATTATCGAATACGGTGAAGGGGGGGGGGAGGCCAAAAAGGCTCTTCCCCCCCCCCCCTTCACCGAAGAGCCTCTCGGAAGAGCCTCTGGTGCTCTCCGAAGAGCCTCATGGAGCCGCCGAAGACCTTCTTGCAGCCGCCTAAAAGCCTCTTGGGCTCTCCGAAGGGCCTCGCGGGGCCTCCGAAGAGCCTCTTGGGCTTTCCGAAGAGCCTCTTCTTCCGGCACTTCCTAGCACTCCCTCGGACTAGCACTCCTTAGGGCTAGTTTTCCCTGGGGCTGGTACTCCGTAGTGCGAGTACTCGCTAGGACGAGCACTCCCTTGGACGAGTACGCCCTAGGGGTAGTAATTCCTAGGACTGGTACTCCCTGGGGCTAGCACTCCCTACGGCTAGTACTCTTTAGGACTAGTACCCCCTATGGATGGTATTCCCTCACACCAGCACTACAGCACCATACTACTACCACACTACAGCACCATTACCACAATACCAGTGCCACAACACCACAACACCGCTACCACAACACCACAACACCGCTACCACAATACCACAACCACAACACCACAACACCGCTACCACAGCACCACTACCACAGCACCACTGCCACTACCACAGCACTACTACCTACTAACAACTCAACAACACTACCAACACCACACCACTAACACAACACTACCAACACCACACCACTAACACAGCACACCACCACCAACACCACACCACTAACACAGCATACAGCACAACCAGCCACTACCAAGACCACACCACTAACACAACATTGCCAACGCCACACCACTAACACAACACAGCGACCACCACACCACTAGGGTCGGCGGGACGGGGCGCGGGGAGGGTCGCGGGGTGGGTCGCGGGGTGGGGCGGCGGGTGGGTCGCGGGTGAGTCGCGGGGGGGACGACGACGATGACAACAAGCAGCGACCAGGTACAATCCAGGCAACGGGATCCCACTTCACCCACGCACCCAGGGACGGTGTCAGACCGGTCGGCCCCCTCACTCTGACCATGGCCCCCGCCATGGTATGCCCACCCTCTAGTCCTCCCCACCCCCCTGGTTGACGCCCACCAAGGCAGACGTGCCACGTCTTCCTCTCCTCGCTCGCCGCCGCCACCGCCGAAGTCCTCGTCATTGTCCTCGTCCTCGGTCCTCGTCGTCGTCATCGTGGTCCTCGTCGTCGTCGTTGTCATCGTCATCGTCGTTGTCGTCGTGGTCGTCGTCGTCGGCGTGGTCGTCGTGGTCGTCGTGGTAGTCGTCGTCGTCGTCGTCGTCGTCGTCGTCGTCGTCGTCGTCGTTGTCTTTGTCTTCGTGGTCGTGGTCCCTCCCCTTTTGTCCTCGTCGTCGCCTCGTCGTCGCTTCGTCGTCCCTCCCTCGTGGCAGGCGTGCAACGTCTTCCTCTCCTCACTCGCCGCCGCCGCCAGCCGTCGTTGTCGCCGTCGTCGTCGTCGGCGTGGTGGTGGTGGTCGTCGTCGTCGTCGTGGTCGTCGTGGTCGTCGTGGTCGTCGTGGTCGTGGTCGTGGTCGTGGCCGTGGCCGTGGCCGTGGTCGTGGTCGTGGTCGTGGTCGTCGTCGTCATCGTCCTCTCTCGTCGTCGTCGTGATCGTCATCCCTCTCCTCCGACCTCGCATTATTTCTTGGAGCGGGCGCACGGGAAATTCGATGCTTATCCCTTGCACGCAGTCGGTGCTGTCCATCCCGAATTGTTTTCTGACGGCCCTTGGGCCGGGAAGCGGTGTGACCAGGCCGTCGAACAATGTGACAAAGCATGCAGCCGCGACTTTTGCCGTTGCGACGCCCGGAGGAGGAGGAGGAGGAGGAGGACAGGGAGGAGGAGAAGGAGGAGGGAGGAGAGGGGGGAGGAAAAGGGAGGAGGAGGAGGAGGAGGAAGGAGTAGGAAAGGGGAGGAGGAGGAAGAGGAGGAAAAGGGAGGAGAGGTACCCTCCCCTCCCTTTTCTGAGCCCCTGGGAGCAGCAGCTGCGGCCCGCGGTCCTGACGCTGCACGGCGACCTCCCGCTCGCGAGCGAGCTCCTCCTGCGGGGGGCTCACGAAGGGGAGGGGAAGGCGGCGCTGCCCTCCTGGCCGGCGCAACATCCTGGGACGGCTGTCCGCCAAGATCCACCTGGCCACCAGCAGCGTGCACCCTGGGCCCATCGGACAGAAACATCGGGGCGGTCAGTCGACGGCCCACCCCCCGACGCCCGCGGAAGGCACGGGAGGCCGCGAGCCGACCGCGCTGCCTTTGCCATACAACGCGCACACCGTGGCGGGGTCGACTGGGACTCCAACTTTCTTGGGAGACCGAAGGCATCCCTTGGCGATCCTGCCCCACGTGTTTTAACCGTCCAGCGAAGAAAGGCGAGCCTGCCCCACGGTGGACGGTTTCCCCCGGGGCCGCACGCGACCCGAAGAGGAGAGGAGGCGGGGGAGGAGGGGGAGGGGAAGGGGGAAAGGGAAGGAGGAGGAGGAGGAGGAGGAGGAGAAGGAGGAGGAGGAGAAAGGAGGGGGATGGGTCTCCAAAGCCCTTTCGGAGAAACCCTCCACCCCACGGGTTATTGTGAGACGTTGCTATCGCGCCACAATGAGGCGGGCTAGAGCCGGCAACGCGACACGCTAAGCACACAAGTTTCTGACCGTATACCACCACCTGCGGGGGGCTAGCGTCGGACAGCGAGGGTGAGGCTTCCTCATTGAGGATTGGGGAATGAGGAGATCATGAAGTACCGATGCCACTGCTCCAGGACCTCTCCCAAGGTGCGTTCTTACCAGAATTTCGGGGCGTCTCCAGCCGTAGCGACGAGGGGTCCCAGGAGGCTCACAAACTTTGTGAGCCTCCTGGGACCCCCTCGTCGCTTCATTCCTCATTTTTGCCTTTGTCAAAAGCAAAAACGAGGAAGGGTAGCAGTATCAGGACCTTTCCCCCCTGAGGACGAATCCAACGATGCTGCCCAACATCGCGTTCTGCGCATAACGTGGACCCCCCGAGGTTGAGGCCTCTTCTCCGCGACCATCGTCTCACCCCGAGACGGTTGTTGACGGTCGGGCCCTGGAGTCCGAACATTACTGAAGGGGCCCTGGGACACACAGAGAAATACACACAAATAACAGGATTCCCCACATTTCCACATGTGTTCTGGGTTTTGTCTTCCCCCCACTTCCCATATTGTCCCAAGTTTTCTGGGGCATCGACGATTAATTGTGTCTGTGTTTTTTCGCTCTCCTGAATTACAGTCGAACCCAGGCCAGAAGAACATTCTTCAAGAGCACGAGACCCTCCGTCGTTCAAAACACACAGGGCAGCCAAGGGTACCCTCCCCAGGATGTACCAGAACGTCCAACGAACACGAAGAACACTGGGGTAGTTACCCTCGTCGAACCGACCTCGATCCCGCTGGCTTCGGCGATTCGCCACGACGCGAGGATGTCAGGGTACGGTGGATGTTTTAGATAAGGACACCTTCGATGAGGGGCCCAGAGTCTCGCGACCGATGGGCGGCCACGCGTGGGCCACATCTTTTTTTGTGATCGAGACATCGGGGAAGCATGATTACTCGAATTATGTATTTACTTCGTCTCTGCCATAGCTAAACAGGCTATGCGGTATCCCCGGTCGGCTGGACGCGACGGGGCGTTGAAAACCCCCCGCAAAGTCACGCCCCCTGGGTGGCGCAGGACCTCGAGGGAAAAGGCGCGGCGCGCGCTGCAAGGCACTCAGTTCACCTCCTTCGATGAGGGGCCCAGTGTCTCGCGACCGATGGGCGGCACTGCGTGGGCCACATAGGGAATGCGCCAGGATCTGGGCCCCGAGAAGACGTCGCTTCTCCTGATCCAATGCCGCCCAAGCACAAAGGCGACGAGGACGACGACGACGACAGCCACGACAACGACAACGACAACGACGGGAGGAGGAGGAGGAGGAGGAGGAGGAGGAGGAGGAGGAGGAGGAGGAGGAGGAGGAGGAGGAGGTGCACGAGCAGGAGGAGGAGGAGATGGAGCCTGGCACAGCCACCAGCGGGGGCTGCAGCCCCCCCCCCCCCGATCCTGCTTCTGCACCGCCGCGGTGAGATCGGCCTGCGGCGCCCCACCCAAACCCTCGGACTCGCGCTCGAGCGGAGAAACGGGCGGCGCTGGGCGCATGCTGCTGCCTCCCAGCTTCTGCCTCTGCTCCCTCCTCCTCCCCCCTCCTCCTCCCCCCTCCTCCTCCTCCTGCCTGCCTGCCTGCCTGCCTGCCTGCCTGCCTGCCTGCCTGCCTGCCTGCCTGCCTGCCTGCCTGCCTGCCTGCCTGCCTGCCTCCTGCTTCCTGCCTCCTGCTCCTCCTCCTCCTCCCTCCTCCATCCCTCCCCTCCTCCCCTCCTCCCCCTCCTCCCCTCCTCCCTCCTCCCTCCTCCCTCCTCCCCTCCTCCCCGCCTCCCTCCTCCCTCCCCCTCCTCCCTCCTCCTCCTCCCTCCTCCCTCCTCCCTTCCTCCCTCTCCCTCCTCCCTCCTCCCTCCTCCCTCCTCCCTCCTCCTCCTCCTCCTCCTCCTCCTCCTCCTCCTCCTCCCTCCTCCTCCCTCCTCTCCTCCTCCTCCTGCTCTTTCCTGCCTCCTCCTCCTCCTCCCTTCCTCCTGCTCTCTACCTCTCTCTCCTGCCTCCTCCTCCCCCTCCTCCTCCTCCTCCTCCTCCCCTCCTCTCCTCCCTCCTCCTCCTCCTCCTCTCCCCCCCTCCCTCCCTCCTCCCTCCCTCCCTCCCTCCCACCCTCCCTCCCTCCCTCCCCTGCCTCCATTTCCTCCCTCTCCTCCACCCTCTCCCTCCGCTCCTCCTCCTCCTCCTCCTCCTCCTCCTCCTCCTCCGCCTCCTCCTCCTCCTCCTCCTTCTCCTCCTCCTCCTCCTCCTGCTCCCTCCTCCTCCTCACCTCCTCCTCCCCTCCTCCTCCTCCCTCCTCCTCCTCCTCCTCCTCCTCCTCCTCCTCCTCCCTCACTCATCATCATCATCATCCTCATCCTCATCCTCATCCTCATCCTCCTCCTCTCATCATACATCCATCACATCATCATCATCATCATCATCATCATCATCATCATCATCATCATCATCATCATCATCATCATCATCATCATCATCATCATCATCATCATCATCATCATCATCATCATCATCATCATCATCATCATCATCATCATCCTTCTTCCTGCTCCTCCTCCTCCTCCTCCTGCTCCTCCTCCTCCTGCTCCTCCTCCTCCTCCTTTTCTCTCTTTTGTTGCGCTACTCCGGCATTGGCAGCGAGCGAGCGGCCGTTGCGCATGAAAAAAGCAGCGCAAGATCAAGTCGACTGTCAAGCGCACTCCTCCTTCTCCTTCTCCTCCTCCTCATCATCATCCTCCTCGTCCTTCTCTTCATCCTCCTCTTCATCCTCCTTCTCCCCCCTCCTCCCCGAAGAAGCCCCCAGGGACTAGCAAGATACCCCAAGAGGCTCCAGCTCAAAGAGGCTCCCAAGAGGCTCCCAAGAGGCATGCCCCTCCCTCCTCCCATTTCCCTCCTGCTCCATGCCGCCCCCCCCTCCTCTTTCTTGCTACCCCTGCTCCTGCTCGTCCTTTGCAGGAGCTCTCGCGTCATGCCGACAGAGCACCAGGATAGGTCGCCTGACATGTTTCGCCCTCTCGGGTTTTTGCCCAGCCCCAGGGCCGTCAAAGACGATTCAGGATGAAAGGGCGCACCTGAGGAAAGGGTCGAAGCCTTGGCAACCTGTGAACAATCGTTGGGGGTCTGGGCTGCCCCTCCTGCCTCCGGCTCCCTCCCGCTCCCCCTGCCCCCCGCCCTCTCCTCCTCCCTCCTGCTCCTCCGGCTCGCCCCCGCTCCATCCTCATCCCCGACTGGCGCGGACCCGTGTGGCTTCCCGAGACCCCGGGAAAGGAACCAACACTGCACCACGCGAAGAGACCCTGCCTGCAAAGCCACGCCGGGCCCACGCGAAGCGCGGCGCGCTCGGTGCAGCTGCTCGGTGCCGCACGCAGCCGAGCACGGCACGGCACGGCACGACACGGCCCGCCGCAGTGTAACACGTGGGCACGGCACGTCGCGGCACGGCACCGCGGCCAGGCACGGCACCGCACGGCACGGCCCGCCGCAGTGTCACACGTGGGCGCGGCACGGCACAGCGCGGCGGACAGGCACGGCACGCCCGCCGCAGTGCAGCCCGTGGGCGCGGGCACGGCACGGCCAGGCCCACTGGGCGAAGTCCCGCGCGCACGGCAGTGTGCGCGGGCACGTCGAGGCACACCTGCAGCAGCACCCCAAGAGGTGTCAGCTGGCGCGCGTGCCGTCGTCGTGAGCCGAGTGAGAGGACATGGCGAAGCAGATCCGCAACCCCAGTCGAGAGGGGTGTAGCCCGACGCTGGTAGCCCGACGCTGAACCGTGCAGCGCTTTGCCACTCTGGCCAACGCAGCGACCCAAGAGCACTGACTCAGCACCTCCCCAGCTGAGACGTCAACAGCATGCGACGCTAGGCCAGCGTCAAGCTCAGGGGGGGAAGCAAGAGAGGAGGAGCAGAGGGAAGACAAGGAACGCAGACACGAGGCCATGGTCGAGGTATGATAGTGTTGCGAATGCATCCCCGTATGATCCAGCCGATCATTCATATGAACGCGCATCGCACAGCAGCAAATGAGAAACCGCAGCGCCGTGCGCGACAACTGGCAGGATCGTGTCCCGAATTCCTGGTGCCCCACAGCGGGGAACCGGCAGGGGGAGGGAGAGCGAGAAACACGCTGAAATCCGCAGTCACAAAAAAGATGCGCCTGGCAAACCCGCAAACGCGCATGGAACAGAGCCGTGCGCCAAATCTGGGTGCGACGCACGCATCAGAACCAAGTTGGCATAAAGTGGCCACGAGGGGGCCAAACCCCGCTGGAGGCACTCTGCAAGCCCGAGGCGGTCCTGGGAAAACCGAGGCGGCCTGGAGGGTCGGACAGTGCCGGGAGAGGGAACGGCCTCGACCTGCAGCTGCATGCACGCAGGCAGTGCAGCAGCACGAGTTGAAAGCATAGGGAGGGAGGAGAGGGAAGGCGAACGAGGCAGGGAGAACAGGACGGCACGCGGCACGCAAGCACGCCACGCCGTGGCACCTTGCTCGCACTCTAGAGCCCAAGTACGGCACCGAACGGCACGGCGCGGCACGACACGCGGGCACAGCACGGCACGGCAAAGCCTTCCACTCTGGAACATAGGCGCGGGGCACGCGGGCACAGCGCAGCACAGTCGCCGCATGCTCGAGCCCATAAGCGCGGACGGCACGACACGGGGGGACGGAAGGCCAGAACTCCGTACACATTCCAATCGGCCTCGGAAGCGCGGCACGGCACGGCACGCGGGCACGCCGCGGCAGATTCATGGCATCCTGTCACGCACGCCACGGCACGCACGGCACGGCGGCACATGGCACGCATCTGGGAAGCGCCGGGCACGGCGCGCACGGACAGCGAGCACGGCATGGCACGGCACACGCCTCGCCTTCTGCAGCCCAAGCGCGGCACGGCGCGCGGGGCGCGGCACGGCACGCTGCTCGCGCTCTACAGAACAGGGCACGGCACGGCGCGCACGGCACGGCACAGTTCTGCCGCACGTGAGAGCCTGGGCACGGCACGGTGCGGCACGCGGGCACGGCACGGCACGTGCCTCGCGTTTCTGAACTCAAGCACGACACGGTGCGCGGGCTTGGCACCTCGCAGCACACCTTTCTGCTCCAGGGCGTGAGTGCGGCGCGGCACGGCACGGCATGGGCGGCACCTCGTGGCACATGAACCTCGCCGTCTAGAACGCACGGCACGGCACGGCACGGCACAGCACATTGTTCGCATTCTAGATAGCACGGCGCTGCACGGCAGCTCACGCGGGCACGACAACGCTGAGTTCCAAAGTCAAGAACCCTGACGCGACACGGCACGCAGACGCGGCACGTCACGGCACTCCAGCGGCAGATTTGCCGCACCTGGTTTCTCAAATGCGGGCCCCTGTAATGTAACTCAATCCCCTTGCAACCTTCCGCGGAGCGGCGCCTCGCGAGGAGCGGCGCCGCCGCCGCCCCGAGGGGCCGGCCCCCCGGCGGCGCGGCGGCGGCGGCGCCTGACGTGGAGGATCGGCGGCGGGCGGCGCCGCCGCCGCCGCCGCCGCCCTGAGAGCCGCAGGCTGCGTACAACCGGCGGCGGCAGAGAGCTGCGCGCCGGGCGCCCGCGCACGGGCGCGGCCCCGAGGGGCCCCCAGCGGCACGGCCGAGCAGGAACTGCGGATGGGGCGCGGGGCGGTCGGCCCGCGGTGCCCCCCCCCCCCCTCGCTAGGGCCTCAGTCGATGGGGGGCCGATGGCTGGGGCGGCGAAGAGGCGTGCACCTCTCGGGCCCCTTTTGGGCCCCTCTCGGGCGCAAAAGGTCACTTGTCGCACCCCCTCTTGCTCGAGGCCTCCTAGATGGGGGCGGAGTAGACGGGGTCGGAGGATCGCGCCGCATCGGCCATGCATCGACGTTGCACTGGCGACGTCGGCGATGCATCGGGGACGTCGGCGTGGAGAAAACCAGGCCCCGCATCGAGCCGCATCGCCGATGCATCGGCGCTGCGGCCCTGCCTGCTCCGACCCCACCCGGCTGATCATCGGCCCCCCCTGCTCCGGCCCCCCCTGCTCCGGCCCCGTCTGCTCCGAGCCGCATCGGCCCCCGTCTGCTCCGACCCCACACGGGCGGCCCAGACTTGCTCGCCGCCCGGCCCGTCGGATCGCGAGGCCCCCCATATGGGCGAAGGCGCCGCCCCTCCCCGGGCGACGCGCCCGCCGGGCCGGGGCGCCGGGCGCTCCCCCGGGGCGCGCGGCCCCTCCGCGCGCGGGAGGTGCTCCGGGAGAGCGGGCTCCGCTCTCTGCGCGCGGCGGGCCGACGAGGGCGAGCGTGCGACCGCGGCGCGCCGTGTGCGGCACCGTGCGGCCAGCGCGCCCCGCGCGCGGGCGTGGCGGCAGCGGCGCCGTGCCCGCGGCGCGCGCCGCCTGCGCCGTCGCTGCTGCCGCGCCACCGGCAGCGTGGGTGGAGCGGCGTCTGCGCGCCCGTCTCTCGAGCAGTGGAGGCAGGCAGGAGGCAGGGCCGGGCTCCTCGCCGACCCCAGTCGAGGGTGCGCCAGGGCTCCCGGCTTCGGCGCAGGCCTGCGAGCTCACGCCCTCCTCCCTCTCTCTCCCTCCCTCCCCCTCCCCTCCTCCCTCTCCGCCTCCCCTCCGCTCTCCCCTCCTCCTCCCCCTCCTGGAGGCCCCTCCTCCTCCTCCTCCTCCTCCTCCTCCTCCTCCTCCTCCTTCCCCTCCTCCCCTCCTCCCCCCCCTCCTCCTCCTCCTCCTCCTCCCTCCCTCCCTCCCCCTCCCTCTCCTCCCTCCCTCCCTCCCTCCCTCCCTCCCTCCCTCCCTCCCTCCCCTCCTCCCTCCCTCCCCTCTCTCCTCCTTCCTTCCTTCCCTCCCTCTCTCCCTCCCTCCCTCCTTCCCTTCCTCCCTCCGCGCGCACGCCCCGCCGCGCGCGCGGGGCGACGAACTGCGATGTTCGATGAGGATCTCTGCGCTTCGGCTGGCTCAAAGCAGGCGCGCCTTCGCCCCGCTGGAAGCGGCCTCGGCCGTAAGTAGCGAAGCGTGGAGCGAGCCTTGGCGTGACTGGCGAACGTTCTTTGTATTCGACGTTTCGGCATTGGGCGGACGGGGGGGAGAGGGGGGGTTCTGGCTCCGGACCTCTGCTTGGTGCGACTGTTTGGAACGGTGCGTCCTATGTGGGAGACTCCACCTGCTCGAAACAGGCGCCAAAAACAGCCAAGATCTACTCCATGGGGGGGGGAAAGGGGAGGGGGTGCGAGGGCCAGCGCCGATCGGAAAAAGAATAAACAAATGAACGGTCACCTGTGCAGGCGAAAGAGATGGCAACCGCGGAAAAATCGAGTCCCCTCCTCCGTCTTCCGCCCCCCCTCCTCCAACCTCCTCCCTCCTCCCACCTCCTTCGGTTTGAGGGCCTGGTGCCGAGCACGCCGGCAACGCGAGAAGGGAAGGTGCACCTCCTGGCCGCCACCGTGGAGTGGAATCCATCCGACCACGCATGGCCCCTGCCAGGACCAGATAGTACAGTAGGGGCCCGACCACAAAAAACCTTCCAGCAGGATGTTTCTGGGCATGACACTCCACTGTATAGTATGGCAATGTTCAGTCTGGAGCGGGGACGGCCCGAGTGGCGCAATTCGGTCGCCAGGTCTTCGGGGCGTGCCCTCTGGCCACGTGCCTGCGCTGCCCGGTCCTTCCACCCGACTCCCCGCCCCGCGCGCGCGGGGCGACGGGGCGACGGCAACGGCGCCCTCCTCGCTCCGAGGTTCTCGGGCCACAGCTCGGACGTCTCTTTTGGTTGTGATCGTGGGGCGTGGCCGTGGGGCGCGCACGCGGTCGTGGTCGTGGTCGTGTGGCGTGCTCGGGTCCTCCGCCGCGCCTGTTTGGAGGGAAACGACTGCCAAGCCCAGCGAGCCGCACGGGCCGTCCGGGCGGAGCACCGCCGCCCGGCGGGCCTGGAGGATGCCCCATGCTGCAGGCGTGGCGGGAGAAGCGGGCCATAGCTCGGATCTCCGGCGTGCGATCGGGTCCACCCGGGCATCCCGGGGAAGTCCTCCAACTCCTCCTCCTCCTCCTCCTCCTCCGCCTCCTCCTCCTCCTCCCTCCTCCGCCTCCTCCTCCTCCTCCTCCTCCTCCTCCTCCTCCTCCTCCTCCCCTCCTCCTCCTCCTCCCTCCTCCTCCTCCCTCCTCCTCTCTCCTCCTCCTCCTCCTCCTCCTCCTCCTCCACCTCCTCCTCCTCCTCCTCCTCCTCCTCCTCCTCCTCCTCCTCCTCCTCCTCCTCCTCCTCTCCTCCTCCTCCTCCTCCTCCTCCTCCTCCTCCTCCTCCTCCTCCTCCTCCTCCTCCTCCTCCTCCTCCTCCTCCTCCTCCTCCTCCTCCTCCTCCTCCTCCTATCCTCCTCCTCCTCCTCCTCCTCCTCCTCCTCCTCCTCCTCCCCGCGGGGCGCCGCTGCTCGACGGCACCCCGTCGAAAGTCGCCGCGGACCGACCACGGCGGAGCGAAGCGCGCAGCTCCGCGGGAGCGGGGCCCTCGAAGGTCGGCGCGGGAGGGCCGGGGGCCCTCACGCCGTGAGGTCGGCGTCCCTCTGGCGCGAACAGGTGCGCAGAGGAGCCGCCACCACGCGTGTGAGGAGCTGCCCTGCCGCGGAGGCGAAAACGAAGACGGAGACGGAGGCGACAACGAAGACGACGGGGCAGCCGCCCGTGGCGGCCACGCGGGCGGTGTTCGCTACGAGCCGGGCGTTGCTCAAGAGGGGGGGGCGATCAACAGGGGGGCGACGGAACGCGCACCTTCCACTGGCGACGTCGGCGATGCATCTGCGACGCCGGCGTGGAGAACATCGGGCTCCGCACAGAGCCGCGTCGCCGATGCATCGGCGATGCGACGCGCTCCTCCGACCCCATCTGCTCGGACCCCACCTGGGAGGCCCAGAACTTCTCTCCTTCCATTACTCAGACTCAGACCCCCGACGTCGTGAATTTTTCACAACGTCTACCCCCAACGGTCTGGACCCCTTCCCCGTGACCCGATTTCAATCCTGAGTCTCCTCTTGCGACGGCCCCGAAGCCCGGCAAGGGCCCCCAGGGCCCGAAAATAGCGCAGAACCTCCCTTCGTGATGTTGTTTCACAGCGCGAGGGGGTCTGGGTACGCAGGAGCCTGTTTTTGTCAGACTCCGGGAACATTCCTTGCACGGCCGTGGAGGGGTGAGGGGCTGAACCTGACGCAAGCCGCAAACGACTCGACGTGTGGAAACCACGCAAGTCGAAATGCGCTTGCACGCTAATATTCGTTTGAAGAGGGGCGAGAGGGGGGGGGAACGCCATGCAAGTAAAGTTGCCGGATCTTTTTTACAGGCTCGTACGCAACGCCCGAACATGGGCCCAGGCCCCCAGGGGCGCCTCGCGCTTCGAGGCCAGGCCCTGCAGCAGCTCCGCGTCACGCCTGCTGCGAGGGGGGGGGGTCCGTCGGGGGGAACGCCGCGCGGCGCGCGCGCGCGCGCCCAGGCGGGGAGCAGCGAAAACGGGAGGGCGCGACGGGGGGGGGGGAAGGGAGGAGGAGGGAAAGGGAGGGGAAGGGAGGGAAGGGAGGGAGGGGGAGGGACGGGGGGAGGGAGGGGGAGGGAAGGGGGGGAGGACGCAGCCTGAGGAGGCGGCGGCATGCGGACTGCGCCACTGTGCCTTTGGTGGGCCCCCCGGCGGGGCCACGAAACGTGCGAGGAGCGTGCCAAAGTGCGGTGGCGCCGCCATGCGGACTGCGCCACTGGGGCCATGGGGCCACGAAGCGCGTGAGGGGCGTGCGCAAATGGGGCGGCGGCGCAATGCGGACTGCGCCGCTGGGGCAAGCGGCATTACCGCTAAGCGGCGCTGCCGCTGGTTCAGAGAAGAGTGACATATAGAGGATGGGGAGACTGATGAGGAGAATGGGGGAGGAATATCAGGAGGATATGGAGCTGGAGGAGGGGGGGCAGGATGACCACCCACGATTTTCATCAGTGCGCGGACGCCCCCTTCAACACAGACGCTTGTTTCCTGGCGACGCGATCGAACTGCCCTAGCTTCCGAGATGTTCGGAGGATGGCCTTGGGGCCTGTGAGCGCCTCAGCGCTTAAAACCTCAAGCGGCTGCAACAGGAGCGCCTAAGCCCCTGACAGCAACAGGATTATACACATTCCTTTGATGGTTGTATCTTCGACGCCTGCTTACAATTATGAGTTGCCCACCTGCCTAGAATCGTGGCCGTTCAGACTTACCGGCGTCCTGGTGAGTCCAGATTCTACGCACAATGCACTCGCCAAGCCAGAAATCAGCTTAGCACGGAGGCCTTCGCGCCATCCTTGTCAAGAAAAAACCTACAAACGTAGACACCTCCAGGTCAATACTTGCCTTGCCAGACCCGCGCCAGCTGACAGTGGTTCGGTTGGTCGTCGTGCGCCAGGCTCATGCGCCCCCTGAATATGGGGTTGCGAAAAACCACATGGCCGCACCATTCACACTCACGCACGGCTCGAAACATTGCCGACGAGGCCATACTTTGGGATATATGGGAGGCTCCTCTCGTAGATGTACTTGCCCATAGCGTCCATAATCCTCTCTATATCTGGCGCTCCTCTGCGTAATCGACGAAATCTTCATATGTGCCCGCATAGCATGCCGGCGAGCGCAGTATCGGCGGGCGCCCATACGGGGCCTTGTACTGCAGCGGCGGAACCACACTCTCGAAGTCAAGCCTGCGAACCCCTTGGGCGCAGCCGTGCGAAAGAGCTGCATCCCGTTCAGCAAGGAGTACAACTCTGAAGCCCAATGCGGTCGCCGACGCACAGCATTCCACAAGATCGAACTTCCCTTCTGGCGTCAAAAAACCGAGCGGTTCCAATGGCCCGCTGTGGTTCACCCGCGCTTGGAGCTCCCGTCCGCCTTGGAGCTGGTGGAGTGCCTGAGCATGATGGTGGTTGCAGGCCTTCGCTTCGTACCCTGGAACGTTGAGCATTGGCGCAATCAGAGCTGGAGTCCTCCCTGTCATGAGAGTGTCCGATCGCCGGGTGACCGAAACCGCTGTCGCCCTGCCTCTTGACAATTGGCCCAATGCCGACTCGAAGCACATCGACTGGAAGTACTGTCCCCGATCAGAAGAACCAGTCCACAACCCAGCATAGTCTCTGATCAAGCGCCGCAAATCATCTCTGCTATCTGAAGGCGGCCACAAGTTCGACATCACAACGAGCAGTGAGCCATGGAATTGCAATGGGCACCCCACGTCTTTGAGCCGCAGGGTATCTGCCGTAGCGAACTCGACTCCCCGACTGTGCATATCCATACGTCGGGCAGTACTGTGAGTCTTCATCACATCGAGCGTTAGATCTGATACAACCCATTTCGAGAGAAGCAAACCATGTCTAGACTCGGCAACATAGTCATCATCGTTTGGCACCATGGAAGCGGCGGCAGTGCAGACTGGGCGCCGACTGGCGAAATATGCTGCTGAGCGGGATATGCCGCTGAGCGAAGTAAAAGTCTGGGACGGCCTGACTGACTATTCCGCTGGGCGAAGTAAAAGTCTGGGATCTGCCACTGGGCGGGATCCCCTCTCGGTCCTGACTGGATATTCGCTTGATCCTAAAAGGCGGCGGGGCGAACGGAATATGCGCTCGGGCCTGGGCCGAAGCGGGAGTGCCGCTGATGACGCGCACAGGGGGCTACGAGTCAGGCGAGGCCCTGGCTGCGGTAGGGCGCGCCAGTTCCTCGAGCCGCGCCCAGCGGTGAAGACGGGGGTGGGGGGGGGAGGGGGCTCCGAAGCAGGGGGGGGGGGGGGCACGGCTCGGATTCGTGGAGGAGCAGTAGCAGTACGCAGCTGATGAGCAATGAATCCAAACAATACCCCTGGGCAACTCACGTGCGTAAATCATCGGAAATTCTCCCGCGCTACATCATTGCGCGCTGCTCGCGCACACAGGGGACGGGACCGAGAGGGCATTCGTGGAGGAGGGGGGGAGGGGGGAGGATGGAGGGGGAGGCTCGATCGCGCTGCTGCGGGGCCCGTGGGAGGTGCCAGCATGTCATAGCCTCGCATAGCCTCGCATAGCGCCGCATAGCACCGCATAGCATCGCATAAGACCGCGCCCTGCGCGTGCACGTGCTGAAAGTTCTGCTGGCATGTTCCACGCCGTGTTCGCCATCCCTCCACCTCACCACCCTCCCAGATGCATCAGCTTCCTACAGCTCTTTTCTCGAGAGCCGCCAGCGGTTGCGCTGGCAAGCCAATCCAAACATTTGAGCAGCCAGCTCCTGACAGGATGTCCACCGCTCAGCATCGCAGGCATCCGGACAGCGGGGTGGGAAGGGGGGTTGGAATGAGGTTGCGAGGGGGGCGGGGTGAGGGGTGGACAGGGGGCCCCCAGGTCTTTCTGGTCTCCAGGGCGAGCTGGTGACCCCCTGGCGGCGCCCCACCCCGCTCGCAACCTCACCCCCACCCCCTCCCCCACGCCCTCCTGACGCCCACCGATTGGCGCGATGTGGCAGAGAGGGACATGGAACGCATATGGTGGTCGGACTGCGAACCGCCAAACATCGATGCGTCCCTTGATATGGTAGATGTGTTCGCAGACCTCTACGGCGATGTAATGTACCGTTCACTCCTGACCCTGAGCCCCGAGGAGCCCGTCCCTCCCCCTCTCCTCTGACCCCTTCTACTCTCGCTGACCTCACCCTTCATCCCTCCCACCCCCCCCTCGACCTCATGAGAAGTTGCTTCCAAACATGTATACTGTATACCTGCAAGTTCTGGGCTGGCTGGGCGACGGATGCCCGAGAAGACGTTGCTTCGTGCCCCTGGGGTCGCCATCCACTCCCTCCCCTGGGCCCGTCCCCATACGGTTGCCAGATGGCCATCCGCATCCAGAGGTACGGGCACTACTGGATCCCCCCCGAGTACGGCTTCTTCTGCTTCGTCCCCAGAGCCCCTGCGAATTCGACTGAGCCCATCGCCTCCGAGCCCGCTGAGCCCGCAGCCTCCAGTCAATGACGAGGCATCAGTGCTGGCTGGCTGAGCCCGCAGCCAGCCATCGTCTCTGCAGGTGCCAGCATCAGTGCATCAATGCTGGCATCCGTCGTCTCTGCAGGTGCTGGCAGCAGTGCATCCGCATGCCCGCTGAGCCCGCAGCCATCGTCTCCGCAGGTGCTGGCATCAGTGCTGGCATCAGTGCATCAGTGCTGGTCGGCTGGCAGCAGTGCATCAGTGCATCAGTGCTGGCATCAGTGCATCAGTACATAGCGGGTCGGCTGGCATCAGTGCTGGCAACACTGCATCAGTGCTGGTCGGCTTGCATCAGTGCATCAGTGCATCAGTGCTGGCATACGTGCATCAATACATAGCGGGTCGGCTGGCATCAGCGCATCAGTGCTGACATCAGTGCTGGCATCAGTGCTGGCGCCTTTTTTGTTGGCGTCTTCGCAATGAGAAGTTTAGCGGGCCAGCCGCTCTTCACCTGGATGAAAAAAACATACCATACTCCATATTATTTCATGCCATAGCGGCTTGTTCCAAGAGGTCCAATACCATCAAACAGTGTTTGGGCCCTGACCCCGCCGATCTGCGTGAGGGGTGCCGCCGAATTTTAGAAATGTTGCAAGTCCCCTGTGCTTTTGGACCCTGACCCCGCCGATCTGCATGAGGGGTGCCGCTGAATTTCAAACATGTGGCAATCCCATGTGCTTTTTGACCCTGACCCCGCCGATCTGTCTGAGGGGTGCCACCGAATTTTTGAAATGTGGCAAGTCACGAATGTTTTTGGACCTTGACCCCGCCGATCTGCGTGAGGGGTGCCACCGAATTTCTGAAATGTGGCAACTCTTTTGTGTTTTGGACCCTGACCCTGCCGATCTGCGTGAGGGGTGCCGCCGGATTTCAAAAATGTGGCAAATCCCATGTGCTTTTGGACCCTGACCCTGCCGATCTGCTTGAGGGGTACACCGAATTTTTGAAATGTGGCAAATCCCTTAATGTTTTTGGACCCTGACCCCGCCGATCTGCGTGAGGGGTGCCACCGAATTTCAGAACTGTGGCACATCTCTTGTGCTTTTGGACCCTGGCCCCGCCGATCTGCGTGAGGGATGTGCATTTTTCACCCAACTAGCACATTTCCGCATATTTTTGCTGTTTCCCCATTACGAAATCAAAAACAACATTTCACACAACTGAACTTCAATGAAATCATAAGTTAGATAAGTTCCATAAGTTCATCGTGGTGCAAGGGCCGCATCTCACTACTTATATATCTATGCTCTGATGTAACATATTTGATGTGCCATTCCATTAAGTTAGTTCAAGGAGTTGAAGGGTTTTAAGTTGACTTGTGGTATTGCAGCTCCATGTTTGCAAATACAACTCAACTTGAATATTGCTCAAGTTCATATGATGCGGCTAATCCCCCTGAAGTTGAAAAGGAACATCTCGGTCCGCCTCCGCAACTCCTCCTCCTCCTCCGCCTCCTCCTCCTCCTCCTCCCCCCCTGCCCCTCCTGCCGGGCGCCCCACCGTGACGTCGACCCGTCCTGGCCCGTCCCCCTCCTGGGCGCTCCCGCCGGCGCCGGACCCCTCGCCTCCGCCTCCCGCCCCTCGACCTCGATCGGCCGTCCGTCCCCCGTGCACGTCTCGCACGTCGCGCCGTGCACCTCCTCGCAGAGCGATCCGAGCTGCGCCTCGGTGGCCCTCGCCGCCGACGACGAGTGCACACGCTTAAGTCGGGCGTGTCCCCCTACAGGGGGATTTTGGGCGAAAAATGAAAAATACTCAGAAAATACACCGAAGTTGTCAAAAAATACTTTTAAAATAGTCCCCAGACTATTTTTGGAATATGGTTTGACTATGTTGGGGGTATTTTTTTATTTTTCGTCGAAAATCCCCCTGTAGGGGGACACGCCCGACATAAGCACACGCCCGGCGATGCCAAAAGCCCTGCCCGAAAGAGCAGCGACTGCAGGAGCGCGCAAGTGCTCGGAGGTCCGAGGCGGGCTTCGGGGGGGGTCGGCGCCGGGCCCTCCTCCTCCGGGGCGGCCCCGCCGGCGCTGGCCCTCGCTCGTCTCGCTTGCCCGCCTGCTCGGAGGAGGAAAAAACTCGCCGTCGCTGGGACGTCCACTACCCCGTGCAGCGTTCGATGCAGTGCGTGCACGTTTTCCGCGAGGTGGTCCCAGATGCTCCTCGAGGGTCCTCGCCGAAAGTGTGCACACGCCCGCGCGATGCCAAGACAGCAGGGCGTGTAGCCTGCTCGAAGGGAGAACAACTCGCCGTCGCTGGGGCGTCCAATCCCCCGTGCAAAGTTCGATGTAGTGCGTGCATTTTTTCGCGTTCATATGTAGCCCATGAGGATGGTGTTTACGGAGTGCCGTTGACGGTAACACCACTTGGCTCACCCTCCAGACCTTCGCCTCCGGCTCCTGTCCACGGCGTTCCTTTTCCTGTGCAAGCTCCTCGGAACCGCCTGCACCCCGGCCCGCCCTCCGGCCGCCTGAGGCCCCGCCCGCCTGTGCCCTGTCTCCCCATGTGCGTAGCCCGCCTAGCTTTTACCGGAAAAGGTTCGCTCTCGCCCCGCAGACCAAAAAAGTGTTTTTTTTCGCGAGGTGGTCCTAGATGCTCCTCGATGGTCCTCGCCGAAAATATGCACACGCCCGCGCGATGCCAAGACAGCAAGGGCATAGACTGATGCTTTCGGAGATCCGCGCAGATTGCTTGGATCGGCCCCGGAGCCTGCTCCATGACCGCGCCAGGGACGGCGCCGGAGGCGCCGCTAGTGGGGCACACTGCCGATCCGAGATACCCGCGCGGACCTCCAAGCGGTGACGTTTATCCCATACGGTCGGGGTGCTGAAAGCAGGAACGGTAACCAAGGAACGAAGACCCTCTTTGGTACAAAGAGCCCCCCATACGTGCACCAGGAGAGCGGCTAGAGGCACAACCACAGAGTGACCCAAGGAACATCGAGCCCCTTCCATGCCCAAACTGCTCCTAGTTTCAGTGTCTCGACTGTCGTCTCCGCTTCGACTTACTCGGCCCGTATCATCAAGATGCGCGATAAGGATGCAAGGGGCCTTGGACGCCCACATGGAAGCTTCTCGAGCGGGGCGCGGCCAACGAAAGCGGCAAAGGATAGGCCGAGGAGGCAAGGATGCAAGGGTACCCTTGGGAAGGTTGCCCATCCTTACTGTGCGGGTTGACTGTACCCCGCCCCGCCCCCCCGCCCCTGGGGGTGGGGATCTTCCGATCCTGGTCAATCCAGACCCGGGTCAGTCAGGCCTTGAACCATCCAACTAAAATCCTGCAAAATCCTGCGCCCAAACCCGGGTCAATGCGAAGGATCCTCCAGGATCCGGCAGGATCCTGCACCCAAGCCTGGGTCAGTGCGAACCTGGCCCTGCAGGATCCATGCACGATCCGGCGCTCTGGCCGACCCCCGTTTGCATCGACCCCCGTCTCGTAAGCCCGGCGAGAGGCCCCCCGATGATGGCGACTCCGCCTGCACCCCGGCGGGCTGGGGCAGCTCGACCACTGTGCCCCGAAACCTTTGGAGTCCCGAAACGGTGCGGTGACAGACCGTGCGGTGACCCCGGAACCCCAAGAGACCTCGCCGCACGGTCCGTCACCGCACGGTCTTGGGACCCTGGAGGCGCCCGTCGCCCGAGACGTCCTCGGAGAACGACCCGAGTCCCAAAACCGTGCGGTGACCCCGAATCCCCACCGACTCACCGCACGGTGTGGTCACCATACCCGGGTACCCCGCCCCGCCTCCCCCCCGCCAGAGGCCGCCCGGGCCCGCGGTGCCTCAGCTTCTCCTCGCGCTCCTCGCGGCGCGGGAGGGGGGGGGGGCAGCGGAGGGCGAGAGCGCACGCCGCCCGGGCGAACCGGAGTCTAGGACTTCTCTGGAAGGGAGGCGCCTGAGGGAGGAGGAGGAGGAGGAGGAGGAGGAGGAGGAGGAGGAGGAGGAGGAGGAGGTAGGAGGAGGAGGAGGGAGGAGGAGGAGGAGGAGGAGGAGGAGGAGGAGGAGGAGGAGGAGGAGGGAGGAGGAGGAGAGGGACGGAGGGAGGAGGAGGAGGAGTTTGACGCTTCGGGCCCTTTAGGTTCAATAGCTTGGAGGAAAAGGAGAGAGGAGGAGGAGGAGGAGGAGGAGGAGGAGGAGGACCCCGCGGAGCTGGCTCCCGGCGAGCACATCGAGCACGAAGCGGTCCGCTTGGGACATGCGACTCTCCTGCCAACGCCCTGTCGCGAGTCGGCCCGGCGACCCTGGGGCCCCTCGCCGTCTTCGCAGGACTTGGCACACCTCCCGGGGGGAGGGAGGGAGGGAGGAGGAGGAGGAGGAGGAGGAGAGACGCGCTCCCTGAGGCGCGCCGAGTTCGTCCGCCAGCCAGGCGACCAGCCAGGCACCCCTCATCAGTGTGTCAGAGCCCACACTCCAGCACACCTCGTCGCTGACAGGCGCAGTCGCCCCTCCAGGAATTTTACTCCCCGAGGGTGAGAAAATAAGTCACGAGCACGTAAATTATTGAAACTAGTGAGCACTAGGTCAGCAACGACAGCAGTGGCATGAAATTCGTCGGTGCAAGCATACTTTCTAGAGTACGTATCAAAGCACGCCCTAGGGTCAGATTACCCCACCAGTCAGGAAGAGAGGGAAGGAGACGCTTCACTACAGGAACTACATGAGGGCACGAAAAGTAATGTAGAATATCACCAGCACCACTACATCCGAAACGACAGCCTTTGCATGCCTGACGATAACGACGAAAGGTATTCATAGCATTGCACATACACCTGACGGTACTTAGACCAATATAGCAGGGATATTTGTGACAGAAAATGCACAGACGAAGAATAGCCAGAGATATCTGGTCGGGCGTGACGTGCACGTTCCAATACCTGAGACCGGCACCGATCTTCTCCTGCAGGGTTTTAAACGTGAACAGTTCATGGAAGACTTGTTTTAGCTCTCTTTGGAGCTCCGGACACTCGAGAACACCATCATCCCAGGGGCGATTCTGGATATTCCGCGGGAGACCAAAGCATAATTGCACAAATCGATCATCTGCTTCAGGGGGGAGTGTTGATGAAACTTGTTGAACCTCCATCCCAAGATCAGGTCATCCCCCTCCAATGCCTCCTCCAGCTCCAATTTACAATCCCAAAAGATCGGAGACCTTGCAACATTCCTGTAGAGTGCAGCTCGCCCTTCGTGCCATAAGGAGCGAGCACTCCAGCTATTGCTGAAGATATTCTTAAACTGGAACAGGACCGCATTCGGGATAGCATATCTCGGACATGCTGTCAAGATCTGGAGGCCGCCCCTCTCGGCGCCAGTAGCTTCTTTTGGGAGGGCAAAGAAAGAGGCGACGAACAGGAGAACGGAGATGGCGATGGAACTGTAAGACATGATAGCTTGATGGAGGCCTCCAGCGAGAGAGCGGATGAAACGGCAACGCTCGAAATACTTTGCGATAGGACTAGTCCAGGAGCGCACGATACTTCTGTGGCCTAGGTGAATGCCCAGATAATTGCCCCAATTCTGAATAGAAAACTTACGAGCGCGAATTCCCTGTTGTTGAAATCTCCTCAGCTCCCCCTCACGGTTGATCTCCTGCCTATAGAAGACAATGACGCATTTAGCAAGGTTCAGCACGAGACCTGGGACAAGTGATGCTCGCACCATGATGCGCATCAGCACTGGCAGGGCGCTGTGCAAGTCCTGCGAGAAGAAGGCCATGTCGTCGGCGAACGCGCTCAGTGAGCGCTGTGGGCTCGGCAGTCTGGTCTGAATCTGGCGCAACACTGGATCGAGACAAAAGGCGAACATACTTCCTGACATCGGGCACCCCTGTCGAACCCCACGGCCGATCTCGAATCCAGGAAACCGACGGCCTCCCAGGAGCATGTCCACGGAGATTTTGCTACAGAGAGCTTTGACCGAATTCAAAAAGTCTGGACCCCCCATGCTAGTCAGCACGAACTCGATCCAGAAGCGCAATAAACTCGGGGAGGCCGCCTTCACATCCAGGAGGACGGAGCCGGCGCTCTTGATGCACTGCAAGATGCCATATCGCAGCATGTTGCACTCGAGCTTCAAAATTTTGTCAGACATCTGACGTGTGCGGACGCAGCCGTTCTGGGCCTCACTGGCGCCTAATTCGCACTGGTCGGAGAGGGCCTTGTTCAGGGCCGAGCCTAAGATCTCCGCATCTGTGTTACTCAATGTTATCGGGCGTACATCATCGGGGGCGCGCCAGAAGCTGTTCACATCTTCTTGGTGGGAGCCTTTCGGGATAAATACCATCAAACCTTTGTTGAAGTCCTCGAGTAACAATAATCATATAAAGCGTCGATAACAAATTCGCATCCACATTTCCAAGCAGAGTAACAAAGCCCATCTGGGCCAGGAGCACAATCCCGAAAGCGGCTGACCATGTGGTGGAAACGTTCCCGTGAGAGCTGCCATTCGACTGCAGGGTGGACGGGCTGGATGAACGGGGCAAGCTCGGCGGCGACCTCGTGAGAGGCTTCGTCAGCGCTATGTACTTTGGCCCAATGGTGGCGAAGCGCGTCCGCCCCTACTTCAAGCGAAGGGAAATGCGACCCGTCAGGCGCACGGATACCTGCGGGGGCCATCTTGCGATTCCGAGGGGCCCAGCTATGAACTAATCTTTGAATCTTGGCCAGCCGTGCATCTCGAAAACGTTCGGGGACGAATTCCTGCATCAGCTCCTTCCTCTCTTCCTCGAGACCCCCTCTCGCCACCTCCCCCATGTGCAGATGAAACCCATGTCTATCGATCCACATGCAGGTGTCCCTTTCTATGAACGAGGCGAGCTTCGGCAATATCTTTAAGGCTGGCTTGATCACGTGCTCGCGCCTGCAGTGCATGGCGCGATTGATGGCAAACAGCCATGACAAATGCTGAGCGGAAGTCTCAGGAGGGAAGTGCGTGGTCTGCTGACGAATACGCATAGCTGCCAGATACATACACTCTTTAATTTCTGTTACTCTGGTGGGGGGGGGTCCTCGGAGAAATCGACGTCTGCGATAATATGTTGAAGAGCAGCAGGAAACCAACGACGCTTAGAGATCCAAGAGGGGACTGGAGGATCTGAAGAGGGTCCAGAGAGCCTCAGGGAGCGGAATACAGGGCAGTGATCACTGGGGGCCCGAAGATCACATACATCCCAGACTGCACCTGTTTGTGGATGATGATCACACATGTCGGCTGTGTATGAGTTTGTGAAGATTCTGCCGATGCGGGTTAACGCTTTGACGGTCCGTATGCCATCGTTTTCGGTAGTGATCCTGTGGGAGGGGGAGAGCTGCTCTACCTCAAGCACGTCGGGGAACTGAACTTCAAAGAAGCGCGCGAGGCCGTCAATGGCCATCTGGTGGATCTCGCCACTCACATACTGGATGTCCTCGCCTGGGGCCGAGAAGTTGAAATCGCCCGGCAGAAACGTATGAGCCTGCGCAGGTGGGGGCGTCGCCCGACGGATCCTCAATAAGAGCTGACGCTTCTCAGCTCTGCTCAACTTGGGATTTTTGTGGATATCGATGAAGCAAACTTCTCCAGACTCCGCCTGAGCACGAATCCCGTGGCAGCGACCAGGAGCGACCTCGAAGGGTCGGGTGTCCCGAAGTTTGGCCAGGATGACAGGATGGGCGACCAGGAGCATTCCCGCCCGAATGTGCGAGTGGGGGTCGAACGCGCCGTAGAGCCTATGATGAGGTAACACATTTTTGATGGCGACGAGGTCCCCTTCGTGCCCATGAGTTTCTTGGACCCCAACAATGCCAGGATATGCGCAAAGCGAGTGGGGACGAGAGTGTTTCCCAGCAGTAGTTTCATGATGCCCGCGAGTAGACCCAAAGAGCCCTTGCGAACCCCAAGTGGTGATCTTGAGGACAGAGGATCCATAGAGCCCAGAGAGGGGAGGGAGACTGGCGGGGGACCCGCAACAACTATCTTCTGAGTCAGAGGAGGAGGACGCCGAGGAAGAGAAAGAACTGCTGTGCTGCTGACTGGAATTAGGATCAACTCCCGACTGAGCCACAATGGGCCCGATCCCCTAAGTCGGGAAGATCAGTGACAATCTCTACAAAACTAGACGGTGGCAAGGCTGGCTCCTAGATGAAGCCGTCGCTGGAGGTGTCCGTCGCGACCTGGATGAGCTTATTGGCATCGTCGATGCTGATCCCCCACTCTTGGAGGTTGCCGATGTCCGGCTGGATGCTGTACTGGTTGTCACTCTCCTCAATCGTGAGGAAGAGCACCCAGTGGTCGTCCATGCTGCTGTCGATTATGCAGAACTCGCCGCGAGCTCCGTTGACCCCGAGCTTGTTGGAGTCGGGCGTCCACTGCCCTATGATCTGGAGCTTGCTGAGGACGTGGGGCCATAGACGAGGCAGCGTGCGCTGCCGAAGCCGTGCTTGAAGTGGCATACCAGGCCGAACGCGGAGAGGTACCATTCTTTTTGTGCGAGAATCGAGCAACCCAGGCAGGTGCTCACTGGCCCAGGCGCGAAGGTTCTTTGCGTGCTGGTCGTTCTCGCAGTGGATGCTGTACGACATAGATACTTTGTGGAACTTCGCGGATAGCTCCGTGCCGAGGGTCGGCTCGGTCTCCGCGATCTTCTGCTTGACCGCCTCGAAGTGGTTGCGACGATGACTCTCTAGGATAGCACGTGGGAAGCCCCCAACCCATGTTCGACAAGGGTCGATCTCATCATCACGCGCATTGGGCGGAGGGGGACCTGCCTCTGCGCGCCTCATCTTAACTCTCGAGGCTGATGAAGAAGCTGTGGAGATAGTAGAC